GCCACAGCTGCCTGTGATTCGTTCCTCTGAGGCCTGCTCCAGGTTTGCTGCGGCCTGCGTGCCCACGCTGAACTGCGCTCCTCTCCCCACCCGAGAAAAGCCATTCTTTACCTTGAGCCTCTGCTTGAGCATCTAATTGTTTTAGAGTTAGATTTGCAGTAATTTTTTATGTCAATAACATTTTATTTTTTCCAATTACATGTAAAGATGTTTATCAACATTTATTTTTATAAGATTTTGAATTCCAAATTTTTCTGCCTCTGTTTCCCCTTCCCCAAGACAGCAAGCATGTGCAATCATGTTAAATATATTTCCACATTAGTCATGTTGTGAAAGAAGAATCAGAACAAAAGAGAAAAACCACAAGAAAGAAAAAAACAAAAAAAGTGAAAGTAGTATGCTTCAATATGTATTTGGGCTCCATAGTTCTTCCTCTGGATGTAAATAGCATTTTCCATCGTGAGTCTTTTGGAGTTGTCTTAGATCATTTTTTTTTTGGGTGGGGGGAGAGGGGTAGGCAATAGGGTTAAGTGTCTTGCCCAGGGTCACACATCTAGTAAGTGTCGAGTATCTGAGGTCGGATTTGAACTCAGGTCTTCTTGACTCCAGGGCTGGTGCTTTATCCACTGCACCACCTGGCTGCCCCAGATCATTCTGTTGTTGAGAAGAACTAAGTCTAGTTGATCATTGCATTTTGCTGTTACTGTGTATAATGTTCTCTTGGTTCTGCTCACTTCATTCAGCATCCGACCATATAGGTCTTTCCAGATTTTTCTGAAATCTGCCTGCTCATCATTTTTTATAGCACAATAGTATTCCATTACGTTCATATACCACAACTTGTTCAGCCATTCCCCAGTTCATGGGCATTCCTTCAATTTCCAGTTCTTTGTCATCATATAAAGAGCTGCTATAAATATTTCTGTACATGTAAGTCCTTTTTCCTTTTTTATGATCTCTTTGGGATACAGACTCAGTAGTGGTATTGCTAGATCAAAGGGTATGTACAGTTTTATAGCCCTTTGGGCGTAGTTCCAAATTGATTTGCAGTAATTTTTGATACTTGTTGATGATTTCTCTGATTTACTCCTGTCTCCAGGTTTAGTTTCTAAATTTGGCTTTGTGCCCTCCTGCTTCACTTTTGAATGTGATGCATGGTCTCATCCTGTATCCCCTGGATTCTTACATTGACTTTCACCTTCCATGTTAAGTCTTTGTTAGCTACTTCAAAGGATCTGAGAATTCTGTGTGGTAGAGACAAAGGATTTCGTTAAAGATATGAGAGGAACAGTTATTCAAAGTCATGGATGCAGGTGATGGAATGTCATGAATTGAAAATAGCTAGCAAGCCAGTTTGAATAGACTGGAAGATGTATGAAGGATGATAATATAAAATTAGACTGGAAAGATAGATTTAGATAAGAGGGCCAGGGCAAGGAATTTATATTTAATTCAGGAGCAGCAGGGAGCCACTGAAGATTTTTGAGTAGAGAAGTGATGTGTTCAGATTTGTTTTTTAGGAATGTCAATTTAGCACCTATGTAGAGGGTAGTTTTACAAAGTGAAAGACTGAAGACAGGGATGCCAAAACTAGAGGCTATTAGTATGGTGAGAGAGCTGATGAGGGCTTAAACTAAGGTATAATCTGTGTCAGTGGAGAGATGTGAGATATTTGTGAAAGTGGAATTGACAAGATTTTGCAAATGATGGTTGAAGGATGGCAGAAGTCAAAGATCACTTCAAAATTGTGTGCGTGGGTAACTGAAGAGATGGTGGTGCAAATAAAGAAATTTTGGATCGGTTTGGAGGGAACTATGAGTTCTGATTTGGACATACTGAGTTTGAAATGCCTGTGGGACATCCAGATAGAGATGGACAGCAGCAGGCATTTGATAATAATAGATTTGAGAATGATCAGCATAAAGATGATAATTGAACCAGTAGGAGCTGGTGAGGTCATCACCAAGGGGGAAAGTATATAGAGAGAAGAGGGCAAGGGACAGATCTTTGGGGAATAAAGTTCACTCAGTGGGGAAGGAGGAAAACCCAGCAAAGGAGATGAGGAATGGCCAGACAGAAAGAAAATCAAGAGAGTAGTATCACAAAAGTGAAGGGAGTATAGAGAATATTCAGAGGGAGAGGAGTAGTAAACAATATAAAAAGCTTCAGAGAAGTCAAGTAGAATGAAGACTGAGAAAAGGTGATTGGATCAAAGAATTAAGATATTGTTAGTAACCTTGAGAGAGCAGTTTCAGTGGTATGAAAGCTAGATGCAAGGGTTTGGGAAGTGAATGAGAAATGAAGAGGTGACAGTAAATGCAGACAGTCCTTTCTAGGAGTTTGGCTTTGAAAAGAAAAAGAGATATAGAATTGTAGCTTGAAAGAATGACAAAGTCAAGTGAAGACCTGGTCATGTTTATAGGCAAGGGTGATGGAGTGGAAAGCAGCCAGTGGGTAAGGAGATCTTAAAGATCAAAGAGGGAATAATAGAGGAGACAGATGGAAGATGGGAAGGGTTGGGATTGAGAGCACAAGTGATAGGCTTAGCTTTGGTAAGGAGGAAGCCCTTTTCTTCATCAGAGAATAATACAAAGGATGAGAGAATGGAGAATAAATAAGACAGATTTTTCAGGTATAGAGTAAGGGAAAAAAGGAAACTTGAAACAGATGTCCTCTCTTTTCTCCTTCTTCAGTAAAGTATGAGATAAGGGAGTTGTCTAGGAGATCTAAAGAGAGAAAAGATTTGGAATAGCTATTGAAGAGGCTGTGATAGTCATTTACAAAGAATAAAAGCTTTGCCGCGCATCACGCATTCAAATTAGATAACAAATTTGTAACAAATCCATACAGCAGAATTGTGACTTTCTCCGGGATATTTCAGCAGCATGTGAGTAGGAATATCCCAGAATTGGAGTCTGGCAAGATGAAACTAGTGATAGGACTAGAAGTGAGAAGCAGTATCTCATCACTTCTTGCCTGGACTTTTGATTTCAATTGCCTTCTAATTGAGCTCTGCCTAACATTTCTCCCTATTTCAGTCCATCCTCCACTAGGCAGCCAAAGTGATTTTCCTAAAGCATAAGTCTGACCATGTTAGTCCCAACCCCTCAACCCCTACCCCTCCTCAACTCAGTAAACTACAATGACTCCTTATTACCTCCTGATCAAATCTTCTGTTCAACATTTAAACCACTTTACCACTCAGCCCCTTCTTACCTTTCCAATCTGAGGGAGTGCATTCCAGGGATTGGAGCAACTTATGTGAATGCATAGAATGTATTAGAGTGCTGAGTTTGGTGAATGGCTGAGTACAGTTTGGACAATGTGAAATGCATAAAATAAGACTGGAAAGGTAGATGGGAGCTAGATTGTGGAGGGTCTTAAATACCAGACTTAAATAGTGCAAATTTTATCCCAGGAGGGGTAGCTACCGAAAGTTTTTTTTAACAGAGAATGACATTGTCAGACCTGTTACTTAGGAAGATGATTTTGACAGCTTTATGGATAATAGATTGTAGGGGAGAGAGAGAGAGAGAGAGAGAGAGAGAGAGAGAGAGAGAGAGAGAGAGAGAGAGAGAGAGAGAGAGAGAGAGAGAGAGAGAGAGACAGAGAGAGAGAGACAGAGAGAGACAGAGAGACAGAGAGAGACAGAGGCTGAAAGCAGGGCCATGATTACAGTAGTCCAGACAAGAGGTAATAAAGGCTTGAGTGAGAGGAATGGCATTGTGAGTGACTGTAGAGAAGGGGACAGAAGTAAGAGATACTGTGGCAGCTTACTGGAAATAGGGAATGAGTCAGAAAAAAGAGTCAAGGATAATCCCAAGGTTACAAACTTGAAAGGGTAGAAGATGGTGCTGCTCTGAACAAAGGTAGGGAAGCTTGGAAGAATTGTTGCTTTTGATGGCAAGATGATGAATTAAGACACAGGATATGCAGGAGGAGATATCCACCACTTGACACTGTGAGATTACAATTTATAAGAGAGATTAGGGCTAGACAGAGATTATGTAGAGATGATATTTGTACATGTGGGAACATTTGAGATCACAAGGGAAGGAATATGGAGCTTAGAGAAAAGAAGGCCCAGGACAGAGTCTTAGTGTAGATGCTTACCCTACGGGGGCAGAAGATGAATGATGATGTAATAAAGGAGGGCTGGAAGAGAACAAGAAGCCAAGAAATTAGTGAGTTTCCAGGAAGAATGGGGATGTCCAGCAGAAGAGAAGCAAAGAAGGAAGAAGACAGAAAAGGCAATCGGATTTAGTAGTAAGTTTGACATTCCATGGCAAGGAGTCCTTAATAGGTATCAGGAGAGTGATAGCGGTGTGTAAAAATGATTCTTTTCTTTTTTTAGGTGCAATGGATAATTCAGCTAATTGATATTAAAGGTGTTCCTGGATCACCAAAACTGGTTAAGAGCAAAAGATATCTTTAGAAACTATACCTGGTATATTATCCACCTCCAGATAGAGAACTAATGGACTCAGAGTACAAATTGAAACATGATTCCTTTCTTCCTTCCTTCCTTCCATCCATCCGTCCATCCATCCATCCTGTCTATTCCCATAGGTTCAACATAGGTCCACCTAATGCATTGGTGACCTTCTTCACTTTTCTCCTGACATCATGGGTATACCAATGAAATACATGAGCTGTCCACTGCTTATCTCTTGTTCTTGCCACATGACTGATCCATTTTCTTTTTTCAATCTTGTATTTCTTTGATAACATCCTTCATTCCAGTTCTTCATAGTTTCTAATTTGTCGTATGTTACAGCCTGCTTACATCCATTGTCCGTTGATTTTTTAGTGATTCTTCTGAGACTAGTAGTCTTATTATTCATAGTTAATAAAAGAAAGGGGGTGGAAAATTGGCATGATATATTTTTCTTTTAGCTTGGGCATCATTTGGTAAATTTCTTGAGTACAACTCATTTTCTCACAATGTTATTCAATTTCCATATTGATAAGTCTTCTTCCTTTCCTTCCTTTGGCAACAGGATCGTGGGGTCAGCAGTTGCCTTTTCCAAAATCCAGCAAAACTTCATCTAACTGTTGGAACTCTAGTGCTTCTCAGTGACCAGGAGATCCAGCGGGCATGTGAACTGCTGCAGCAGTGTAAAGAAGAGTTTATCAAGTAAGTAGTCTGGATGTGTGGGGAAAGGGTAGTCTTCAAGGACACTGCATACCTTTTCAGAGAGCCGCAGTATAAGGGAGAACAGTAACGATTGATTCACTCATCTGTAGCACTTGAACTTTGAATCACTAAACAGTGATTCACTAATTTACTAATGAAGTAGATTTTAAATATAGATATATTATTAAATGTTTTGCTTATATCTTGAGTGTGAACAGTGTTTTAAGGTTGAGAAATTTATTTCAGATGGTGCAAAGTGTACTTTCTCCAAAGTGATTTTCTTGTATCCACCAGAACTTGTCTGTTTCATCCAGAAATCTTTCCATTATCTTTCACAGTTAGAATTCAGTCTTTTCTAGTAGAATCAAATGTAGCTTGCCCAGTAAAACCTTTTTTTCTTCCTCAAAATACTCAAAGGTATCTGATTTCATTTTCTCTTTTTCCCACCCTCATAAGTTGGTCTTATAAAAATGGATGTTGGTATTGAGTTGAAGAAGGTAAAGTTTTAAAATTTGATTACATAAAATGCTAAACTTTGTAATGCAGTGATTGTTGTTTTGGGGCCATGTCTGGTTCCTCCCCTTTATTAGTTTCCATATCAAGGCAATTTTCTTAAAAATTCACAAGGTAGGGGCAGCTAGGTGGTGCAGTGGATAGAGTACTGGCCCTGGAGTCAGGAGGACCAGAGTTCACATCTGGCTTCACACACTTGACACTTAATAGCTGTGTGACCCTGGGCAAGTCACTTAACCCCATTGCCTAGCAAACAAACAAACAAATAACAAGCTGATTTGGTTTGCATTATGCCTTTCGTTTGTAGTCTCCAGTGACAAAATTGACCTTGTGTGTTGTGCTTCAGTTAGTGCTGGGTAAAACTACTTTTTTTGAGCTTTTTACCTAGAATTCATAACAACTTGACATTCTCAATTTAATATTTGCAAACTCTTAGTTCTACTATATGCTTTTGCTATAAAGAATAAGATAGATTTAGCCAATTGAAAGAGTCAGTTTTTACTCTTTAATTTGTCTCTAGAACAACTAACCTTAACCCAAACAAATAAAATCCAATAGCATAAGTTTCTGGTCACAGGTTTGTTTATTCTACTATCTCTTTCACAGTTAAAGGGATAATATTGCTCAGAAAGAAAGTTTTAACAGAAGATAAGATATATTATTCAGAAAATTATTAGTTCTCAGGAAAGTAGAAAATTGGGAAAGAATTTTTACAGCCAGTGTCTCTGATAAGGCCCTCCTTCCTTCCTTCCTTCCTTCCCTGCTTGCTTGCTTGCTTGTTAAGTGACTTGCCCAGGGATCGCCCAGCTGGTAAGCGTTATATGTCTGAGGTCAGATTTGAACTCAGGTCCTCCTGACTCCAGGGCCAGTGCTCTATCCACTGCGCCACCTAGCTACCCTTCATTTCTAAAATATAGAGAGAATTAAGTCAAATTTATAAGAGTACAAGTTATTCCCCAATTGATAAATGGTCAAAGGATATGAACAGGCAGTTTTCAGATGAAGAAATTAAAGCCATCTATAGTCATATGAAAAAATGCTCTAAATCACTATTGATTAGAAAAATGCAAATCAAAACAGCTCTGAGGTATCACATCATACCTATCAGACTGGCCAACGTGACAAAACAGGAAAATGATAAATGTTGGAGAAGATATGGGAAAATTGGAACACTAATGCATTGTTGGTGGAGTTGTGAAATGATCCAGCCATTTTGGAGAACAATTTGGAACTATGCCCAAAGGGCTATAAAAATGTACATACCCTTTGACCCAGGAATAGCACTTCTAGGGCTGTATCCCAAAGAGATCATACAAATGGGAAAAGGACCCACATGTACAAAAATATTTATAGCAGCTCTTTTTGTGGTGGCAAAGAATTGGAAATTGAGAGCATACCCATCAACTGGGGAATGGCTGAGCAAGTTGTGGTATATGAATGTAATGGAATACTATTGTACTATAAGAAATGATGAGCAGGCCAATTTCAGAAAAACCTGGAAAGACTTACACGGACTGATGCTGAGGGAAGTGAGCAGAACCAGGAGAACATTGTACACAATAACAACCCTGTTGTGTGATGACTAACGTTGGTAGACTTAGCCCTTCCCAGCAATGCAAGGATCTAAGACAGCTCCAAAGATCTTATGATGGAAAATGCTATCCACATCTAAAGAAAGAACTATGGAGTCTGAATGCAGATCGAAGCATACTATTTACTATTTTTTTTTCTTCTGTTGTGTTTTGTTTTCTTTCTTGTGGTTCTTCCTATTGGTTCTAATTCTTACTTACAACATGGCTAATGTGAAAATATGTTTAATAGGAATATATATGTATAGCCTGTATCAGATTGCTCACCATCTTAGGGAGGGAGAGAAAAATTTAAAACTCAGAAGCTTCTGGAAGTGATTGTTGGTAAATCAAAATAAATTTAAAAAAAAAGAAAGTTATTAGTTCTCTTAATCATATCAAATTCAGGCCACTGATTTTTGTCACCTGAGTTTTATCCTGAAACACATGAGAATTTAGCTGTAAAAGCTTTCTTTGATACGTCTTGGGTATCCTTTGTGTTATTGAATGCCAAATCCAAGAACTTTAAAAACATCGAGATTTGTGTCACAAATTTAATTGTTACTAAGAATTTTTTACATATAAAACCAGTAATTGCAACTTTTAAGAGTTGGCAGTGCTTTTGAAATAAGACAGAGTTACCCTAATTCTTTAGCACATGGGTAAAACTCAGACCACCTTTTCTAGAACATCATTTGAATCCAATCAGTTATGAAATAAACAGTTTGTAGGGCAGCTACGTGGCGCAGTGGATAGAGTACTGGCCCTGAAGTCAGGAGGACCTGAGTTCAAATGTGGCCTCAGACCAAAAACTTGACACTAGCTGTGTGACCCTGGGCAAGTCACTTAACCCCAATTGCCTAAAGTAAATAAATGAATGAATAAAATTTTAAAAAAATCAACAATTTGTCTATTTACTGTAAAATTAGTTTGCTTTTTTGGGGGGAGTTGTTTTGGGAGCATATGAAGTATAAAGATTGATTATTGAGCTGGCTAAATATACCTTGTTTCCTGAAATGAAGTGTTTGTTTAGATGAAAGAAAGTCATTTCCTCATCTCCTGAAGTCTATGCTGGGTAAAAGCTATCACCCAAACATTAAGAGCTAGGGTAGTTAGCCAATAGGTAATGATATTTAGCAGTTAAATAATATTAAGATCTCAAATTCAAGGATAAAAATAAAAGTATCAGACATAAATAACTTAATGGTATACTTTGTTTTACTTGATAGCTTTTTTGATTTTAGGATTTTGAAAAATGTGCCTGAATTGACTCTTAAATAGGTCAATGTTAGAGTATTGATATTTGAAGAAAAAGTCTTTTGTACAGGTTTGAGTATTTGTTTTAGACTTGGGAATATGTTTAATGGCTGATACTAGGTTGGAAACTTGACCTTGTATTTTAGCTCTTGCTCTAAAGGGTCATATAGCTATATAGACTGCAGATGGTGAATTATTCACTGTAGTTAGTGAACTTTAATGCCCTAAATATATCCCTAGTGGGTACCTTTTTCACCAAGAGAAGTAGAATTGGAGGGATGCCAATATAACAGAATACAAAGTAGTCATTATACACCTAGGCCAGCTGTGGCCCTACATCCCATGTCAGCAACCTCTTCAACTGTTGATGCCACTGTAGGTGCTAATCATATCAATTCCAATAAACCTTTTTTGAACATCTACTATATTTTCAAGCACTGTGCTAGGCACTATGAATACAAAGCTGCAGCCAAAACAAGCAGTTTCAGTACTCTGGGAGCTTACATTCTGCTTGGGGGCAGGGCATGGCGGGCATGGCAGATAACTATAATTACTTGTTTTGTAGGTGCAGTGCACTAAAGGGAGGGGAGTGAGGCTAGAGATGAATATCAAGTGGCACCCAGCTGACCTGAGAAAAAGGGATAGAAATGGAAGAATAGGAAGACAGAAATCTTAAGAGAAGAGAAACAAGAAAAGCACATAGAAAGAGAAGCAATATTATCAGAAATTGTCACATTTGCTCTTCAGTGGAATCACGTCCTAGGGTCACATATACTATTTTGGACATCATGGTATAGGGGAATTATTATTGAAGATTCTTAATTTTTCCACTGCTTTCAATTTGCCACATGAACAAAAATAAACAGAAAAGTCTTTTGTATCACTGCAAGTATAATTGCTATTCTGACCTAGTACTGGATTTTATTAGATGACTATCTGAAGACATTGGGGGCAGCTAGGTGGCACAGTGGATAGAGCGCTGAGCCTGGAGTCAGGAAGACCTGAGTTCAAATGTGGCCTCAGACACTAACTGACCACTAAGGGCAAGTCACTTAATCCTGTTTGCCTCAGTTTCCTCATTTGTAAAATGAGCTGGGGAAGGAAATGGCAAACCAATCTAGTATCTTTGCCAAGAAAACCCCAAAGGGGGTCATGAAGAGTTAGACACAGTTGAAATAACTAAACAACAGCAACAAAATCTGGCAATATTGCCATAGTCTTTTCAAAATTATACAAGATTACATTTCTGTTGTGGTTTGATAAAGGAAGCTGTGTATAGCTGGCAGGTTTTGAGAACTGTATGGGCTTTGCTTTGACATAGTATAGTATTCTTACTGGGGAAAATGTCAAATAATTTGGGGTTTGGGGTGTCAAATTATAAATTTTGCAGCTGAAGTAAGGAGGATGAGACCTGGGGAAGAAACAGCAAGATATTTGTGTTACTCAATTAGCATAGATATACATTGATAATAATCTGCAGTTGGACTTTTAGCCATGTTGGCAGCCTAAATGGAGTCAAACCTCCCAGCTCCCACATGCTTACCCTAGGGAAAAAAAAAAACCTTTAAATTCACATCAGACTGAATAACATTCAAGAAATCCAAAGAGAATCTAAAGTAAATTACTTCTTTCAGCTCCAAACTTAACAAAAATTCAGTCAGA